CCAGGCCTTGCCCCTCTCACCCCTGAAATAAAATAAGTTTTTAAAAAAGACCGTAAAGTACTTAAGAATGCTTTTTCAGATGTTAAAAATATTCAAAAATTGACTGTAGTCATGGTTACAAACTAAAAACCAGTAAACTGGGCACTTTAAATGATTGAATTGTATAGTATGTGAATTGTATCTCAATACAACTATTACAAAGAAATCAGTAACAAGATGAGCAAGCAAGGGAAGCATGGACAAATGATCTGTGCTAAAATAACAAACATCTTCCACTTTTCTTTGGCAGCTCTCAGCTATGCTAATTTTCTTGTTGGTTGTTGCTGTTTGAAAAGATTAGCAAACTGCTTTTACAAAATACCTGAGGGGGCAACTGACAAACAATCATGGGCCAAGCTTACCCTACTGCCATCCAATCAGTTCTGACTCACAGTGACCCTACACAGGGTTCCCAAGGAGTTACGAATCGAATTGTTAAGAAAGCCTCAGCTTTCTCCCACAGAGCAGCTGGCGGGCTTGAACAGCCTACTTTGAGGTTAGCACCACCAGGGCTCCCTCAGCTAGACCACAATCACTGCCGTGGAGTCAATCCCTACTCATGCTCTATAGGGCGGAGTAGAACTGCTCTTTGGGGTCTCCAAGGCTGTCCATCTTTACGGGAGCAGAGAGCCTCATCTTTCTCCTGGGAAGCCGCTGGTGGGTTTCAATGGTTGACCTTGTGACCTTGTAGAGAGCAGCCCCATACCTATGCCCCAAGACTCCTGTCGGCCAACCTTAGATTGTGTTATTTGTTCAAAACAAGTAATTACACAAGACACGCAGAAAGCCAGTAAACCTATGGGGAAACAAAGTTCAATGATCACAATTGTAGAAATGCACCTTAAAATTAAATATAATTTTTTTCCACTGGGGGCAAAATTTCTTTTTTAATTTGAAATACTACCAATACTCTGAAGGGTAACTGGTAGGATCTACCACAATTTAATGTCCTCTTCAAACCAGCAATGCTAAGTATCTCCCTTAAAGAAATACACAATGACATGCAGAGAGGCAGCTGAATGGTCCGGTACTACTTATAGCAGTAAAAACACGAAACACTAGAAGCAATAACATCACAAGGGAAACTGTTAAATAACACAACACGTGGAACATTATGCAGCAGTTCCTATTCTCTTGAATCAGATACAACCATATGTGGCGATATGGGAAACAGATAATGCCAAGGAAAAGGAAATATAAGAACTCCGTGTCGACTGTGGAATACTATTCAGCAATTAGGAACGACGACTGATATTGCAGCAAAAGTGTACACAGATGAATCTCAAAAACACTGCTCTTACACAAAAGAAGACAGAGCATCCCGAGTACATAGTGCACAGTTCTGTTTCTATGAAAGCCCAAACGGAAACAACACCAGTGGGTGATGATACAAATACTCTGGTAGCTGCTGGCGAGGGGCACAGACTAGAAGGGGGCACTAGGGAACCTCCTGGGAGCTGGAAATGCTCTGTATCTAATTTTGGATGTTGGTGACATGAGAATACAAAATTGCAAACATTCATCCAATTAAACTGAAGATCAAAAAATAAATAAATAAACTTGAGATCTGTGTATTTGTATTGTCAATTTAAAAAAAGAATAGCAAATTCTATCATACTATATTCCTCCACTTAAAATCTAACGTAATTATGTACTGTCCAAGGACAGAGAGCCCTGGTGCCATAGTGGTTATGTGTTGGCTACAATCTACAAGGTCAGCAGTTCAAAACCAAACCACCAACTGTACCAAGGGAGAAAGACGGGGCCTTCTACTCCTGCAAAATGTTAGTCTCGGGAAACCTGCAGGGGCAGTTCTACCTTGTCCTAGGGGGTCGTAGTGAGTTTGGTTAGTTGTGGCCCAAGGATAAGGACACAATGGTTAAAATGCCTGGCTGCTAACCAGAAGATCAGTGGTTCAAAGCCCCCAGACATCTGGCCTTAGAAACCTACAAGGTCAGCTCTGTCTGATAGGCCACGATGAGTTAAAGCTGACTCCATGCCAATGGGTTTGGTTTGTCTGGAGCCTAAAATAAAATCCAAATACCTTAGATACCAAACAAAAAACCAAACTTAACCGCCAAGTCACTGCTGACTCATGGCGACCTTCGGTTCAGATGGTCCTTCATAAGCTAACCTCTCTCTCTAATCCAGCCTCCTCTCTGACCTTGATGTGCTTACCCCAACAGTTCTCAAGGAATTGGCCAAGCATCATTGGGGGTCCCCAAGACCCTTCCCAGGGACCCAAGAGGGCTAAACTATTTTTAAACACTACGAAGATGTCATTGACCTTTTTTCTTCTTTTTAATCATTTTATTAGGGGCTCATACAACTCTTATCACAATCCATACACACATCAATTGTGTAAAGCACATTTGTACATTCATTGCCCTCATCATTCTCAAGACATTTGCTCTCCACTTAAGACCCTGGAATGAGTTCCTTTTTTTTCCTCCTCCCTCCCTGCAACCCCCTCCCTCATGAACCCTTGATAATTTATAAATTATTATTTTGTCATATCTTACACTGTCCAATGTCTCCCTTCACCCACTTTTCTGTTGTCCGTCCCCCAGGGAGGAGGTTATATGTAGATCCTTGTAATCGGTTCCCCCTTTCCACCCCACCTTCCCTCCATCCTCCCAGTATTGCCACTCTCACCACGGGTCCTAAAGGGATCATCCACCCTGGATTCCCTGTGTTTCCAGTTCCTATCTGTACCAGTGTACATCCTCTGGTCTAGCCAGATTTGTAAGGTAGATTTGGGATCATGATAGTGTGGGAGGGGGAGCATTTAGGAACTAGAGGAAAGCTGTATGTTTCATCGTTGCTACACTGCACCCTGACTGGCTCGTCTCCTCCCCGAGACCTTCTGTAAAGGGATATCCAATTGCCTACAGCTGGACTTTGGGTCTCCACTCCGCACTCCCCTCATTCACAATGATATGATTGTTTCTTCTTTGATACCTGATAACTGATCCCTTCGACACCTCGTGATTGCACAGGCTGGTGTGCTTCTTCCATGTGGGCTTTGTTGATTCTGAGCTAGATGGCCGCTTGGTCACTGACCTTTTTCATGCTCATTCTCTCACCACTGTGCAGTGGGATTTCCCAAAGTCCCCACACGTGATGACCCTGCATCATGATGTGTCCACAACTGGAAAAAAATAGACAAACTAAAACCCTGGAAGAGCTACAGAGTGAAAAACACCATGCAAGAACCAAGGAGGGAGCACAACAGATCGGCAACTGGAGCGAAGCCACCAAGCCCCTGAGGAGCCCCCAAAATAGATTTCAGAATAGGAGGGGCAGTACCCGGAGCTCCCCGGGACCGGTAGGGGACAGTCATATAGGTCAGCAGACAGATCTGCAATTATGTACGGACTTTTTCTTTCTCTCTTTTTCCTTTTTTTATTTCTCCCTTGATCTTTTATTTTCCCTTTGTTTTGTCCTCATCCTTGCTTTCTGGTCTGCCCATATAAAACAGGCACGAGAAGCACCCTGAGCAGATAGCAATGGACTGACCGTTCCAGAGGAACCTGAGGGGGGGAGCAAACCATGCCATGGACGGGGGAACAACTAGGGAATTAAAATCAATGATGAAAATAAAAAAATCGAAAAAATCAATGGTGAGGGGGGCATAGGGACCCTGGTAGTGTTGGAGCAACAGTAATCTAGCCGAGAGGAATTACTGAGTAGCAAATGAAGAGTGAGCAAGATAGCGGGTCAGGAGGAAGGTAAAAATAAACACGGGAAAGAGCTAGGAAGCAAAACCATGGATAGAGGTAGAAACATAGTTGTGCTCCTATGTAAATATACTAATCCACAAAAATAGAGGTATTGGCCTATGTACATATATTTATATGGCAATATATTGAGGAAGTGGACGGACTTTGGGCCTCTACTCGAGCCCTCCATCAACGCAAGAACACTGTGTTCAATTAACCTGCCGTTATGATGCTCACCCACCCCACACAATTCCGAAGACAAAGTGGGTGCATAAGTATATGTGGTGAAGAAAGCTGATGGTGCCCGGCTATTAAAAGATATAGCGTCTGGGGTCTTAAAGGGTTAAAGTTAAACAAGCAGCCATCTAGCAGAGAAGTAACAAGCCCACACGGAAAAAGCACACCAGCCTGTGTGATCATGAGGTGTCAACAGGATCAGGTATCAGGTATCAGGCATCAGAAAACCCAAAACAATCATATTGTTGAGAACAAGGGAGGTCGGAGCAGAGACCCAAAACCCATCTATAGACAATTGGATATCCTCTCACAGAAGGGCCACAAGGAAGGGACAAGTCAGCCAGGGTGCAGTATAGCACCGAGGAAACACACAACATTCCTCTGGTTCCCTGAGGCTTCCCCAGCCCCAAAATCATGACTCCAGCTCTACCTTACAAATCCAACTAGACCGGAGTACGTACACTGGTACAGACAAGGCTTCTCGAAACACAGAATCCAGGACAGATAAACCCTTCAGGAACAGAAGTGGGAGTAGTGATACCAAGAAGGTAGGGGGAAAGTGGGGGAACCAATAGCAATGGGTATAGGGGGGTTCCAACAGCCCATTTTTCTGCTAGTCGTCAAGGGCTGACCCTTTGTGGCATCTAGGGACCTCAAGACAAAACCTGATCTGTCACCAAGTCCATTCCGACTCACAGCTACCAGACCAGGCGGAGCAGACCGGCTCCCATGGACTTCCTGGGCTGTAGAGCAAACGGCTTCACTGGAGCAGCTGCTGGGTTTGGCCCACCAACCTTGAGGTTCAACAGTGAAACGTTTAATCCCTTGCCCAACCAAGACCCCCAAACAACTAATGGGGGGGGGGGAATCATTATTTTAAAAAAGAAAACTGTGGCTCAGTGCTCTGTAATTTGTTCAAATACAGTTACCTAAAAAGGACAAGCCTACAGTTGCACTCTTTGACCTCTAAATCCCCACTTCTCTGAGTAGCTGGCAGTTTACCTGGGAACTAATGGCATACTTCAGGTAGGACAGGATGAGAGGGTTGGGGGAAGGTCCAATCATGGCCTGCTCCAGCAGTGCTTCTGCAAGGAGAGTAACAGAGGGGGAGTGTTTGCGACTTTTGCTGGGGAGCCCTTCCCACCCTCCCTTCCCTTTTGCTTCAGACCTGCCAGGTTGAGAATGTCCCAAGTGGCTCCTTTGGGAAAGAATTTCTTCATGTTGATGGCCCACTGGTAATCACTCCATCGCTCTTTCCAGGCTTGCAAAATGGCTTGCTTTAGGTTCACGACCTTCATAATCTCACTCTGCGGAGGCGGGGCTGGTAGCTGCCAGCTTTAAAATGAGAAAAATCGCGTTACAAACGGGGAGAAAAAGTTCTGAAGCAAAAAAGCAGAGTTCCATAGAATGAAAGAAACACAGGAAGCCACCAGGAAGGTAAAAGAACCAGAAGAGGGGGAAACGAGAGCGAGCAAGACAGAGGTCCGGCAGTCTCGTCTCTCTGGATACAAACTTCCAGAGATGGGACCACCAATGAGAGGTGGCAAGGGGCTGAGCCGCAAGGGGTTAAACTGACTCCACTTGCCGACTAACCGTGCCCTTCGCCGGCTACGTCCCACAACCACCACCATTCCAAATCCAGAATTCCCACCCCCTATTTTTCTCACCTTTCCCGGGCGAAAACCGTAATCGCTTATATCTTTTTCATTTACTTCCTCCTCAAATTTAAACCTACCAGACAAGCTACTTCTAGCGCCTAGACGTCGCCATGTTGGCACTTGTCAAAGAGCTCGCTATCTATTGGCTGGGAGTAGCGCGCATAGACCAATAGGAATGCAATTAAAGAGAAGTCCCGCCGCTATTCCTTCTGGGAATTGTAGTTCCTCGAGCGGGGGCTTCATTTGTCTGCTCTACCCACACCCGTTGCCGTCCCAGGGGTTTCAGTTCACACAGAGGAAGCCAAAAGCCTGATGTCGTCGGTCCCGTATTGTTTCTGTTCTTTGAGAAGGATGTCTAGCATGTGGGGCATCACAGAGCCTGAGGGAAAGGAGGGGTAAGGCCGCTCGGTCCGGCGTCGCGCCATGACGTCACTGCCGAACCGGCGCCGTAGTTCTAGTCCGACGCCTTTTCTCGCCAGCATGCGGCCATGGTAACGCAGTGCTACGTGTTGGGCTGCGATCCGCAAGATATGCAGTTCCAAAGCACCTGGCGCGCCGTGGGAGAAAGATGGGGGCTTTCTATTCCCGTAAAGAGTCAGAATTGAACCTGCTCTATCAGAGTGATTCTCTTAACAGCCCTGTATAGGCTTTGTAAATCTTAGCAGGAACCTCATCTTTCTTCAGGGGGAATGCAGCTGACTTTACAGTTCATTTGAACCTTAAGGTGAATTTGAACCGCTGACCTTATAGTAAAAAATAAATAAAATAAAAAAGGAAACACAGTGATGTGATACTATATGACAGAATATAACTACCCGTGTAAGTTTCTAAGTCCGTAACTATCTACAGGCGCAGAGAGCCCAGTCTTTAGCTCACGGAGTGGCTAGTGGCTTCGAACTGCTGAACTTGCAGTTAGCAGCCTGATGCATCACCCTTTCCTACGCTCTGTTTAGCAGAAACAGCCAGGGTTTAACCATCAGCAACACACTCTTGCTCCTTCCTGGCCCTTTTCTCCTCTCTGGAGGCATCAGGGTTAGACACTCAGCTGTGAGATGCAGTTGACGCCCACCAGTTGCTCTGTGAAAGATGAGGCTGTCTGCTCCCGGAATGATTTAAGGTGTCAGGGACACCAAGGAGCAGATCTACTCCATAGGGTCCCTATGAGCCAGAATCCACTCTATGGCAGTGGGTTTCCTGTTTGGGTTTAAGCACCTGGGAAGGGGCCCTTATGGTGCCAGGGTTAAAATATTTAGCGGCTAACCCACCTGCCCACCCCAGGAGAAAGAGTAATTGCTTTGGTCCTTGAAAACCGTACTGCGTAGTTCTACTCTGCCCTGCATGATTGGGGGAAAGCTACAAGGACAGCCACCGTTGACGCAGCACTGAGGTCTGGGCGTAGCACACACTTTTTGAAACTTCTTCTGTCGGACCTCCCAGCCTCTGGGGCCTTCCATCCTGCTGGAATGCAGAGGGAAGCAGGGAAGCCAGTAAGGAAGAACCTGAGGTTCAGGCTAACCACCACCACCACCAAACCAGAAAGTCTGAGAAACTAGCACGGCTGAGAGAAGCTAAAGAGATGTAACAGCTCAGAAAAAGAGAGAGAGAGAGATAACAGCTCGATGTAAAGTGGTTTATTTGATACGGTCCTGGGACAATAGATAAAAGCAGGAAATCTGAATAAAGTAGGGATAGTTAATAATGCATCAATATTAGTTCAATGATGATGACAAATGGATTGTCATCCAGTCTATTGCGACTCACACGGACCTTATAGGACAGGGGAGAATACCCCTGTGGGTGTCCAACACTAATTCTCTATAGGAGTAGAAAGCTTCCTCGTTCTCCCTTGGAGCAGCTGGTGGTTTCGAACTGCTGACAGAGTGGTTAGCAACCCAACCCACTAGGCTACCATGGCTCCTTCTCCCTGCCATTGAGTTAATTCTGACTCATACTATTGTAAAATGTTAATAATAGAAAAAAAATAGAGAGAGCAGACTGGGTTTGAGGTATCTGGGTACCCCTTGTGCTAGTTTTGCAAATGTTCGGTAAATCTAAAATTATTCAAAAGTAAAATATTATTATTTTAATTTAATTGATATCGTATTTATCCAAAGGCACCATATTGTGGATAATTATGTCCAGGTCTTTTGGCATTAGTCATTCTCCCTCCTCTACCCCTCCCCCCCCACCCCAGTGAAAAGCCTATTTCTGACCCAAATGTCTGAACCTCCCTGTAAACAGTTTGCATCGCTTCCTCTCCCATCCAGTTCTATGCCTAGCATTCACAACCAGGGACAGGAATGAGCTTGTAGGCCCCGGGCCAGTGGTCTGAAACCTTCTTCCCATCCTCCATCCCATGCACTGAGGAGCCGTTATGTCCAAGTCCCACCCATGCTCTCCAACAGCCACCCTTTGGTCACCCTTGGGGTGGCAAAACCAGTCCTCAGGAGGATGAATCTGGGGGAGGAGACCGTTCCGGCTTTGCAGACAAGCTCATGGCTGTTTGGGCAAGAAGACAGGATCCAATGGCCTTTCGCCCTTCCCAGACACCCACCTAGATCCCCCTCCAAGCTGCTCCCTTTGAGCTTGCCCAAATGACACCACTGGGGAATAGTGTTTATACAAAACAGCTGCTCAAGATGTATAGCCAAAACTTCCAAAGCAGGAAGGAGGGAGAACCCAAAGCCCTCACACTCCACCTCCAGACTCCCACAGCCAGACACCCACAGAGGCGGCGAGCACAGCCCATCTCTCCTCTGTCTCTCACCTCCCTTCTTCCCCCAGACCCCTCCCTCTACCTTTACAACTCCCCTCTTCTCATTCCTTTCCTATTACAGCAGCCTCCTTGCAGGGGTGGTGGTGGTGGTGGAGGGGCACTTTGTGCTATTCCTGGCCCTTGCCTTGCTTTTTCCTTTTCCGAATGGCCCAGACTGGCCCTCTTCGAGAGAAGCTGTCAAGTTTGCGATTGCTTCTGATGGACTTAGCGGGTGCTGGGTCCACGTGAGAGAGAAGTATATGTGGGCCCTGTGGACGGCGATATCCTGAACTCCACCCATCCTTCTCTGGAAGAGACCCAGATGACTCGAGGAAGTGCCTCCGCCCCACTTTACAGCAGCAGGGAGATCGGAGGCAGTGTATGGAATCAGTCCATCTGCCTTCCCTATCCCCCCACCCCCATCTCTCCCCAGCAGCCTTTTCTCTAAGTTTGGAAGGGTTTTCCCAAGGACTGGACGCCTAGGTATAAGGAATTACTTGGCACCGGACAAAGAAATCTTGGTGGCCCAGTGTTTAAGTGTTTGCTTGCTACCTGAAAGGTCAGCAGTTCAAACCTACCACCTGTTCCACAGAAGAAAGTAGCAGTCTGGTCTGAAAATCGAGAGCCGTATATGCACTATGGGAGCAGTGATCTTACTGTGATCCTATTGTGGCCCATAGGATCACTATGAGTCAGAATTGAATGGGTTTGGGGGGCTTTTGGCTCTCTGTTGTTGGTGTTAGGTGCCATTAATTTGATTCCAAACCATAGCAACTGTGATAGTTAGGTTTATTGTTGCCAACCTGGCCAATAGGAACATGTGGGATTAACCAGGTCACTGTTTGATGGGTGGGCAAAGAGATAAATGACTCTGCAAGGCCCGCCCGCTCCCATCTCTCTTGCTCTCTGGC